AAAAGTTCAACAACAACGTCAACCTGGCGCCCGTGCTGGGCGTGTACCGCCAGGCGGGCGATTTTCTCGACTACTACGGACGGTCGTTTGCCAACACGTCGGCGGGCGTGGCCGCGGCGGCGGTGCCGTTTCTCACGGCGCAGCAGGCGGCAGGCGTGGCGGCGACGGCCAAGCACTTTCCCGGGCTCGGCGCGGCCTCGCACGACGCCAACACGGACGAGGTGCCCGTGACGCTGGAGCTGTCGCTGGACGAGCTGCGGCGCGTCGACGAGGCCCCGTACGTGCAGGCCATTGGGGCCGGCGTGCAGCTTGTCATGCCGTCGTGGGCCGTGTACCCCGCGCTCGACGCGCGCCCGGCCGGCCTCAGCAACAAGTGGGTGCAGGACGAGCTGCGCGGCCGGCTCGGCTTCGCGGGCGTCACCGTCACAGACGCCATGGAGGCCGGCTCGCTCAAGGGCTTTGGCGGCACCGAGGAGACGGCGCTGCTGGCCGCCGCCGCGGGTATGGACTTGCTGCTCGCCAGCAGCAGGAATGTCACGCAGGGGGATACCATCAGGAAGGCGCTCGTGGGCGGTGTGCAGTCGGGACGCCTGAGTAGGGCGCAGTTTGACGCGGCGACCAAGAGGATTGCGCTGATGCGTAGCAAGTTGTGGGCGTAGACACTCTATAGAGGGGAAGGAGCGATAGGATAGTGTGGTTGATGCTACTGAGGGTTGTCGTCTTTCTTCAATCGAAATGCCTCCATTATGATTCTCCGTATGTGCGGCGCCGTCAGCTCAAAGTCAAACCCAGCAGCGCCATCCCGATCCCCCATCTTTCCCGCCACGACTTCGGCCTCCGACGCCCACACCCATGCTTGATGTTCCTTGGGGTCCAGCACAATGGCGTGCAGGTCCTCGACCTCGACCTCGAACGCGAATTTGCAGAAGATCCTGGTCCCGCGCGAGTTTGTAAAAACCGTCAGCGGCGCGCCGTCGGGGCCCTCGGTGATGCGCCGCGTCACGCGCCGCGCCACCAGGCCCGTCTCCTCGCGGAGCTCGCGGGCGCAGCCGTCGAGGATGGTCGCGTCCGTGGGGGGCGGGTCGACGGCGCCGCCGGGGAGCTCCCACTTGTAGGGCATGCTGTCGGTCGCGGCGCGCTGGACGAGCAGGATGCGCGCGGGGGATGCGCCGGTGTCCCAGACGCCGGCACTGGCGTGGACGCCGGCAAAGTCCTTGTCGTGGGCGGCGAGCCAGGCCTCGTAGGAGACGTTGAATTCGGCGACGGCGGGGTCGAAGGAGAGCTTCGACATGGTGAGAGGGATGTGCTGGTGGTGATTCGCAAGGTGTGGTGAGATGGAACGTGGTTGCTCTCGCAGGCTGAAAGGGTGGTTGCTAATCTCGCAATCTCGCATCTGGCGAGAGTCAGGAGCGCGATCGATTTTAGCGCGTTAACTATTGTTCCTGTCGCCACTTTCGGCGTTGGGCACGTGCAAACAGCGCCTACATACAAACTCGGTTTGATAGTTGGAGCCAGTCGGACGATTTGCTATATTAGGATCTACCAAAATCAGACTATGCACTGCACTAGTAAGCCCGGAGCGACCATGGCTTTACTAACTAGAGAAAGCCGTCGTGACGCCGATTGTCCTAGGCAGAAACGTGGTGCAGTAATCACGGAGCGGGATTGCGCCGCCGTTGGGAAAACTTGGTCCCCTAGCAGCTTATCTGCTTTGAACCGCACATTGACAGGCCCTTCTCGCACAGGTTGCCGATCCCTGTGCCGCTACCGGCATCTCCCCCAGCAAGGACGAATCTTGGAAGCTTTCTTGTCTCGCCGCCTCTGGGGCAGAGCAACGTAGCACACCCTGTGATGCGTCATACCTCTGTATCCGTTTGGCTTGCAGGCGGGGCGGCAGGCAACGGCGAGAAACATGGCGTTCAGGAGCGCCGTGGCGCGATGGAAACAGCCCACCAGTTTGATGTGCCGGCGGCAACTATTCACACACCTGCGGCCTGCCGAGATATGCCGGAACGGACCAACATGGTTTTCATCTTCGACTTGATTTGAAACAAGGCCTGTTATACCAGATAGTAGACACGTGGCCGCTGAGATGCCGATGCAAATCGCCTCTCGCGCCCTTTGTTTTGCTATGCGTGCCATGTAAATGACAATTTCAAATCTGTAGTGCTCAAGACAGGTGCAAGGATGGACGGGCGGACCATAATGCGCCTTGCGAGATCCGGATCTATCTACACCCGGGAATGGACGGACCATTCCTTGTGCTGGACGGCACTGACGTCGAATGAACCAGGGCGCAGCGCCACAACATTTTTCTTTGCATTGACTGTTTTAGGTGGTAAGAAAAAAGAAGCCTGTAGTCAACAGATAACCAACTACAATGTACAGAGTACCGTGCCAGGCACGACCGTTGCGGTGCCGAGCAATTTGGTGGCCAGTGAATGAGCCGAGTCTGAAGCATCGTGCCGATCCGGGCAGGTATCCCCTACATGCACTCTTTAGCTGCATAGCCAGCATCGGTGAAGAGCATAACATGTGAAAAGCACGGCAGAAAGAATGTACCAATTACGCTCCTTTTTACTGGCACGACTTTTATTTAAGCTTCTATTCTGCCGTGTGGCTTACGTTTCATTCAGATGGGCGGCCAGACGGAGCGACATGTGTAGACCTTGGTCGCGGTGCGTTGCTCTCATACAAATTACAAGTGCCTGATATGTACGAGCAATGTATGAAATCCATCCAAATGGGCTTGCAGATCATAGCGACGACCACCATTTCACCGTCATGGATACCGCGAGCGGATACTACTTGCGATGAACAACCTGGGCTCTGAATTACCCACGCGTCGCCAGCGCTTTCTTGTTAGCCCGAAGCCCATGTTCGGCGTGAATCGTATGCACCATCCAGACTTGGATAGTTGGGCTGCTTGACCACCTTCCTATCTGCGCTGCTAACCTCCTTTGTGGCTTTCTTTCGAAGCGGCGGCAAAGCAGCCACCTGTCTAGGTCCGCGCACGACCCATGTTGGAATTCGAACAAGTACGAAGTACGAGATGCTTGGAAAGGAGAAAAGATGGCCGCGGGGGCCGTGGCTACATCATCGTTGTTCTCTCCCCCGCCCCTCCCTCTCCCCGAGCTGCACGGCCGAGAGGGGACAATTAATGTCTTGCGCCGGCAAAACTACTTCATAACTCCCCATCCAGTGTCGTTGCGGCGGACGGGGCGGCGGGCTGGTGGGGGCGGGAGAAGACGGAGCGGAATGCCTCAAGGTGTGGGTTCATCAACCTCTCTGGATCTGTTTTTAACTTTCAAGATCGATTGTGCGTGGAGGGGGGTTTCGAGTCTTGTGAGCCAATGAAGACGTTGATAGATGGCATTTTGTTTCAGCTCAAGGAGCGTGCAAACAGGGTTTCTCTTGCCATGCCTCTATTCGGATTTCTAGAACATGGCCCCATCTCGGCTCCGTCGCATATATACATGCGGTTTTTTGAGCAAAGATGTAGCGCACATGTACGAATGCTTTGAAGCGCCAGTGGCCTGCCGCGCATGAGGCTCAACGCGATAGTACGCCTCGACTTGTGTGATGCTTATCGCCAAGCTACCCCGAGCCTCGTTGCAAGATTCCTTGCCAAGGTATTCTTTGCGAGCCTCGGGGCTTACTGACAGCCTCATTGCCCTCTGATACCGTCACGGCCACCGGCGTCCGTAAAAATCTTATCGCACACGGAACGAGGCATGTATTCGAGGTGGCCGTCCAAGCACGCCATACCGTTTCAGTCCCAAACGCGGCCCCGGGCTACTCCGCCCCCCTCCCAGCTGATAGCTTGGTGCCTGTCAGGCGAAATATATTGCAACGCTGATGAAATCCAGTCTTTGCACCCCCCTAAGTCGCCCTCGAGTTAGTAGGCTTTATCAAGTTCCCTTAGCTTCTTGAGCTGAGTGGTGCGCATGCGGGTGCGGCTGAAGACTTGGCCGGCCGGGCGCAGTTTCAACAAAAAAACGAACGAGAAGTGACGATCTGAAGGCATGATTCGAGTCGATGATGGAACCACAAGGCAACAAAAGAATTGTATGCGGTTGTCGGGGTGGCTTGGGGGCTTGGATCATGGCCCATGAAGACGAGGGACGGAGGAGACATATTTTCGACCCCCAAATACCCCGAAAGACCCAGTTCTGCTCGGCACTACGAGCACGCCACCAGATGCTCGATTTCTTTAGTTTGTAGTCGGCGAATTGTGCGGCGTAACGGAAGCCGTGGTTGCGTGTTTCCCCCTGTCATGATGTGTCGTTTGTGTCTTGTCACGACTGCTCGCTCAACCCTCTCTCGACTGGCCCCATCGTGGGGCAAACAGAGTTTAGCCGTCCGCCACCTACAAACCCGTACCTTCTTCTCCACGCTCTAGAACCTCATCAACTTGTCGCTTCAACGAAAGAATCAAACATCTTGCCGCTTGCCTCAACGACGTAATTATATCTGTATTCGAGGCACAATGGACGTCACTGTGCAGCTCCCGACCGATCCCGCCGAGCGGCGTCGCGTGCAGAACCGCATCGCGCAACGCAAGTTTCGTCGTAAGTCTTTGTCCTGTTACCATTAGCATTTTCCTTCCAACGCTTACCAAAGACATTTTTTTCCTTGGCGGCAACTACAGACAAGCGGCTTCAGAACCAGACAGCATCGTCTGCTGCCATCCCCCGCTTCTCTAGCTTTCACGCAAGGCGAGCCTCGTCCGCCAACACAAACGCCGCCGCGCACGGCACGACGACGCCGCCGCTCGTCGGCAGCGCGCTCCCCTCGCCCAGCGCCTTCGGATGCATTGACCTGGGCACAAGGCTGGACGGCCTGCCCATGACGCCCGCCGCCGTCTTGATGGACGACTTTGGCCTGGACATGTACCTGGACGGCAGCTTTGACTCGTGCTTTGATATGCCCAGCCTGCCCACGGAACCGCCCGGGCGCGCGCTGTCCTGCGACACCGGCTTCTCCGCGCCGGCGCGCATGTCGTATCCGGGCCTGCCCACGCCGCAGGCAACGGTGCCGGGCTCGTATGCGTCGTCGTCGGCGTCGTCGTCTGGTCGCTCGCACGGGACTCCTGTCGGCGAAGGAGGGCGACGGGTGTCGTCTGTAAGCAGCGTTTCCCGGCCGGGTTCGCGGCGTGATACCATGATCGATATGCAGACGGCCGCGTTCGATGATGGCGGCCGCCAGGACCCTGATACGATGATGAGCGCAAGCAAGAGCGACAACGAAGAAGACGGCAGCAGCGGCAGTGCAAAGTGCGACAAGGGCTGGATCAGCACCATTCACATTGCGGTGCAGAGCGGCAACGAGCGTATTCTCGGCATGTTGCTACGGCAGGACACGGAGGGCATCAACTGCCCAGACAGCAACGGGCGCACGCCGCTCTTCCACGCCGCGATCCAGGACAACGAGCCCGTCGTGCAGATGCTGCTGGCGCACGGCGCGCGCATTGGCCTGGCCGACAAGGAGGGCCGCTCGCCGCTGCACTGGGCCGTGCTGTACCGCCGGCTCGAGGTCCTCCGCGCGCTGCTGGAGCATTGGAACAGGCGGGAGCGGAATACTTTTGGCATCGACGCGCACGATAATGTCGGCTGGACGCCGCTGCATCTCGCCGTCGAGAGACGCTTCGAGGCCGGCGTGCTGTTGCTGATGCAGCACGGGGCGAATATCAAGGCGAGGGCCAAGATGTGCCCGCACACGGGCAAGCCAATACCGTTCAACGTGGAACCGATTGGATTGTGAGGTGCCTCATGTTGTTTGTCTGACATCGATATATGCCCATGTTGGTGTCTGACGTTGAGAGACGACCATTTGATGTCTCATATAGTGTCTTACTGAGGGTGGTTGGCTTTCTTTGTTATTTGGTTGGCTTCTTGGCTCCATGTATTGCGTAGTTTATTGGCAGCGGTACTTTTGATTGTTTCTTAGATGTGCATAAATGAAACCCCAAAATTAGATGTTCCATGAGTCTGCTGCCAATGCTCCGTCACGTCTATAACCGTTGATCCAACCGGCCCAGGCCCCTTATTCTATGACCTCCCCGACGACATCGACAGGGTTCCACTCCAAACGCAGCAGAGAAGCACGAAAAAAAAACCTGCCAATACACTTTTTCTGCGGGTGTCATGACAATGCTGCATGAACCAATGCCAGGGTGACCCAGAGATGGGATGTAACCGTGGTCAGTACAAGCTCACACGACAGCCGTCATCAAACCTTCAGCCCAGCCAACGTAACACACGACCTTTGTCTCGAGCTGTAAAGTTGGCTGCTTGTGCTTGGCGCTTACTTTGCAGTATGAAGGTTCTAGTTAGCGCATCTCGCACTTGCTCGTTTCTTGAGGCCGCTTTGTTCGGGCGGCCCTCGCAGCGCGCCCGCACCCTGGACAATCGCAATTTGCGGCGCCTGATTCGCAATCCTTTACGAAACTCCCTCTTTGGGGCAAGTCTCAACGCTAACTTGCCCTAACTAACAACGCCTTGTTTTCCTCGCCCGCTCTCAAAGCCACAGCAACTAAGAGTGCGGCTGATAGCCCCCCGCCGGCCCGCAATCGTTGCACTTCCTGCGTAATGCTTACCTTGCATGACCGATCACCCTCTCTATCTTGTCATCGATGCGGCTAGCGAGATCTTACTTCTTGGCCAGGGGTCATTTTTCCTACGCCCGGGTAAGCAACACACAACACGGCCCCAATGTTATCAGCACCCTCAACACCCGCAAACCCCACCCTACGACAAATCGTTAGTACTACCGAGTTTTCCATCATTTGCGAGAGGCAAAGCAGGACTCGAGACTAAGTTATTGCGACAATTGGTTAGTTAGGGCTCACTAGCCTCGCCAGCAAAGACTTGCCCGCATCATGAGTGCCGTGACGACATCGTCGGATCAGCGCGTGGACGGGGAGAAAACGACGGCTACGAGCCGTGATGATGCTGCGCTCGTGGAAACCAGCAAGGAAGAGTATCCTCATGGCTTCCAGCTCGCATTCGTGGTGCTGGGGATACTGCTGTGTTTGTTTTTGGTCAGTGGTTAATTGTGTGCACTTTTCTGGGTTGATGCGACTAACACTGAATTATAGGCAGCGCTTGACATGGTGTGTGGCTTCTACTACATTTTCGGCTCTCCGAAAAATCATTTGAAGGTAATTCACTGACCAACTATACCAGACGATTGTGGCCACGGCCATTCCTAAAATCACTGACGAGTTTCGCGCCATCGACCAAGTTGGATGGTATGGCTCAGCCTTCTTCCTGACGCTGGCCGCGTTTCAATCGTTCTGGGGAAAACTGTACCGGTACTGCCATCTAAAATGGACCTATATTGCAGCTGGCATTGTATTCGAGATTGGCAGTTTGGTGTGCGGTACGTCGAGTCGGGAGCCGGCCTTTTGCAAAACAGCCTTGTACTGACCAACGGCGTCCCAACAGCGACGGCGAAGAACAGCACGACCCTCATCGTGGGACGAGCTGTAACGGGTGTCGGAGGCGCGGGCCTCTACTGCGGAACCTACACAATCATCGCATTTATCGTCCCGCCGGCCCAGCGAGCGCGATATACCGGCCTGGTGGGCGTCTCCTATGCGGTCGCCAGCGTGGCCGGGCCGCTTATTGGTGGTGTCTTTACCGATAACATTGGCTGGCGATGGTGGTACGTTTTAGCACTCTTCGAGGAGTTTCTTTTTTGACATTTTCCGCTAACGAACTGGCGGTCAAAGTTTCTACATCAATCTCCCCATCGGCGGCGTGAGCCTGCTTCTCATCCTGCTGTCCTTCAAGCCCCCCGCCGCGGCGAAGCCGGTAGCAGCACCGCTCAAGGAGATTCTGCTCCAGCTGGATCTTGTCGGCGTCGCGCTCGCCGTCGTCAGCATGACGTGCTTCTTCCTGGTGACGCAGTGGGCGGGCGCGAGCCGCGCGTGGGACTCGGCGCCGGTGATTGCCTGCCTGGTCGTCGCGGCGGTGACGTGCATTCTGTTTGCTGGCGTGCAGGTATGGCAGGGCGAGCGAGCATCGCTTGTGCCGAGGATCCTGTCCAAGAGAGTCGTGTACGGAGTGGCTTGCTTTGCGTTTTTGTAAGTGCTGCCCCAGCCGACGACGCGATGTTGACTAACGTGCCTTAGCCAAAACGGCATGAACTTCTTCTTCACGTACTACATTCCTATTTATTTCCAGTCCATCGACAATTACTCGGCGGCACAGAGTGGCATTTACAACTTGCCACTCATCTTTGGAGCCTGTAAGTATCACGACACTTGTCCATGCATCTATACTAATCTCCTCATGAAAAGGCTTCTTTGCCATCATCTCCGGGTTTCTCATCACCATCTACGGATACTACACAGTATACATGGCCGTGGGAAGCGCAGCCTGTACCATTGCCTCTGGTCTCTTGTATACCATGGGCATGCACACCCCTCTTGCCCGTCCATTAGGATACCAGATGCTCCTCGGCGCCGGACAAGGCCTCGCCATCCAGGTTCCCGTCATTGTTGCCCAGGCCATGTCCGCCCCGGAAGACATTTCGGCCAGCACTGCCATCATTTTGTGTAAGTAATGCCGCCACAGACGCCCACTCTTAGGTGCTCACACGCAGTTTTAGTTTTCCAAATGACGGGCGGCGCAATATGCATCTCCGCGGGCCAATCGGCATTCATCAACCGGTTATTGTATTATCTCAAGACCATCGCGCCCGGGATTGACGCTGCGCATATTGTCACCATCGGCGCATCCGATCTGCGCGCGCAGATATCTGCAAGCGACATTGATGCCGTGCTCCAGGCGTATCTTGGAGCTCTGAGGGATACGTTTGCGCTTGGTGTGGGATTTGCGGGCTGTGCGTTTCTGGCGAGCTTTATTGCTCCGGTAAGAAATTTGGCGCATGGGTCAAATAAAATAAACGTCATGGCGGCCTTGTAATAATTCAAGGGGAATTGGTCATTTGGCAGCGATAGAAATTTAACATGCATTAATTGATTTTCAGAACTCGCCCGTACGAACATGTTGAGCTTGTGCCTAGCCACTCAGACAGAAACGCACAAGGCAACGCCAGTGACTAATTGTGAAGTGAGTAAAGATTAAAACTTGATTAGTGACTGAGAATGTAAGAGTCGTAGCGTAGATTGAACTTCAAGTGGAAAGTTAGATCTGTTCAATACGAATTGACTCGACTAGCACTATATACTTTAAACGAATTCCAAAATCTTCAAGAGTATATTCGTACTAGACGAAATTCATCAGTCACCACATCTGCCGCCTCCCAACGTTGCTCTAGTTTCGGATCTTCAGTCGGAGTCCAGGACTGCCCGCTGCAGGGAACGGAATAATCATGTCGCGAACGCAGTCAATGTCGCGCTCGCGAGTCGTCTCATAGAGTTCCAGCGTCGGTCCCGCTTGGCCAGTGTACAGGTCGTACTTGTGCAGAATGGTGGCCAGAATGATAGACAGTTCCTGCTTGGCAAAGTTCATGCTACTCGATATTAGTAAGGGCCTTTATGAAAGAGTGAAGCAAAACAAAACGTACCCGATGCAGTTGCGTGTTCCCCTAGCAAACCCGATAAACGCGCGGTCCAGTCTCGGGTTGTCGATCCATCGCTGCGGGATAAACTTTTCGGCGTCGGCAAACACGGCCTCGTTGGTGTGCGCAATCTGCGCCGTCATGCTGTACGTGGTGCCGGCCGGGACGACGTACGACCGCCCGCGGACCTTGTCCTCGTAGACGACGGGCTCCGTGGGCGACACGCGCGGCAGGCGGGCGACGACGCCGGGGTGCAGACGCAGCGTCTCCTGGATCGCGGCCTGGAAGTACGGCAGCGTCTCGACCTGCGCGTACGACGGGATGTCGTCGGTGTTGCCGGCGAGCGCCGCGGCGAGCTCCGCCTTGACCTTGGCCAGCTCGGCCGGGTGCGCGAGCAGCTGGTAGATGGCGGCGCTCAGGGTGTAGGCCGTGGTGCCCTGGCCGGCAAAGACGACGAGCTGGGCCTCGTGCGCGAGACGCGCCGTCGTCTTCTCCTCGTCGGGCAGACGGCTGCTGAGCACGCCTTCGAAGATGGTGCTCTTGATGCGGTCCGGGTTGGGCGAGCTGCGAATCTTTTCGACCTCGTCGAGCCACATCTAACCAAGTTAACTCTATATACCGGAAAAAAAAAAGATCACAGTTGAGAAGCTTGCATACCGTCTTCTTGTTCCACATCTCGGTCAGACCAGGGAAAACAGCCTTGATGAGCCAGTCGGGCGACGTGCCCAGCAGGTAGCCGACAATGGGAAAGTGGCACATGGCGTGGTTGAAGAAGTGGAAGACGTCAGTGGCCTCAATGTACGGCGCGGCAAAGTCCTTTTCGCCGAGAAAGTTGAACGAGGTGCCGAAGGCGTACTGGGTGACAATGTCGCAGGCGCAGGCCTTGAGCACGAAGTGGAACTTGAGCACCTCGCCCGTCTCGCCGGCCTCGTGCATGCGCGCGAGCAGCTTGTGCATGTCGGCCTTCATGATGGGCTCGAGGCGCCGGATGCTCGCCGAGGAGAAGAAGCCCGAGATGGTGGCGCGACGGAGGCGGTGGGTGTCGTGGTCGGCGGTGCCGGCCAGAGAGTTGGGCGCTAGGAAGGGGTTGGTTTTGTTTCATTGTGTGTAGAGAGGGAAAGATGTATAAACGTACTGCCGGTGCGACGACCTGTCATGACGGACTTGTTGGTCTTGCGCTTGGCGCTGGGGTAGAGCGGTTCAATAAACTCGGGATCGTTGAAGTGCACCTCGTCGGGATTGATGCGGACGATTGGGCCTGCGGAGGATTAGTCCAGTCTGTTCCAAGACGACAAGTATTGCTTGTTTTAAAAAACTTGAAAAAAAAACACACCATATTTCTCATGCATCTGCTTCACCTTGCGAAAGTACTGGCCACCCAGCCAGACATCATAGTAGATCTCGTACCAGTACGTGAATGCTATCAAGGCCGTTAGCGTCGCATCCCGTCCCTGAGCCGTATAACCTCTTACCTGCGAATTTAGGACCGGGAATGCCAGCCAGCGGGTGCAAGAACACTAATTCCAAAAATATGAGCCTTCAAAGTCGCCTTGTGTGAGACGATGCACATACGTCGATGACCAGCCAGACAGGCCCAGTACGTCAAAACCGCGGTACCAATGAGATACAGAGTAGGCCATGACAGAAGTCCATCCACACGCCAGGTATGGACCGCGTCGTCCAGTCCTTGCTGCAGTGTCTGTAGAACAGGCTGCGCCGTGCTGGCGAAATTATTCGCGGCCACGGTTTGCCACGCCTTGGGCTCAGATGGTTTCAAAAATTGCGACATGCTGAAAAAGAGTCCGGTTCTCACAATGTCAAAATGTCAGTGTGCTCCGCACGAATTGGGAGACCGTTTTCGCCGGGAACATGGTATAACTAAGTTTTTGGAGGGCCGCTCTCAAGCACCAGGGACAGATAAGATAGCTGCCGGTGCGAGATACACTAAAAGCCGCCACAAATGGTTGGTAGTCGGCAGTCGATCTGCTTACGCAGATTCTGTAAGAGGATCGGGTCATTACGTGCTCGCGCCGCCGAATGGTCTCGATACACCTGCCAACCGGCAGTAGGCCAGCCACAAAGATGACGCATGGGGGGCGTTATGGTGCAAGATGGGATTAGCTGAAAAAGATAGAGCTCAGCTCGCGAATAAGCTCAATAGAAAATGTCCGCGACTAATGCATCATCAGCAGCAACCGGGCGCTCGTAATACGCCGGACAGACTGGGGCCGGCCTCAGCCGCACTAAAGCCTGTCCACCTTGGGTCCCCCCGGCTTACACCTCAGTTGTCCGACAGCCTTGCCAGTCTGGCCGACGCCGGGGCAGGGGGCCGGCGAAACAGTCTCATGCAATACTACTTGAATATGCAGCAGGCCGTGGCAGAGGTTCCATCGATACCACCTCGAACGTGTCTTGGATGCCCGCCGTCTATCGCACAATGTCTCGCTCTGCGCTGTCCCTCTGCCTGCTGCTCGCTCCCGTGGCGCTATCTCTCCCGCAGCACGCCGCGACGAACCGGACCAATGGCCCTTCCTGCCGGTATCTGCCGCAAGACGCGCAGTGGCCGTCGCCGCAGTCGTGGAGCCGGCTTAATGCCACGGTGCAGGGCCGCCTGCTGCCGGGCGAGCCGCTGGCGCACGTCTGCCACGGCGCCGACCACGACGCGGCCGCGTGCGCCGACCTCGCCGCGCACTGGACCGAGCAGGCGCCGTACGCTTCGGACCCCGTGAGCATCATGTCCCCGTTCTGGGCCAACAACTCGTGCACGCCCTTTACCGGCCCCGCCGCGCCGTGCCTGCAGGGCAACTACGCCTCGTACGCCATCAACGTCAGCAGCGCCGCCGACGTCGTCGCCGGGCTGCAGTTTGCCCGGCAGAGCAACGTCCGCGTGCAGGTCAAGAACACGGGGCACGACTACCTGGGCCGGTCGACGGGCCAGGGCTCGCTCGCGCTCTGGACGCACAACCTCAAGACGATCCGCTTCCTCAACTACACCAGCGACCGGTACACCGGCCCGGCCGCCAAGCTCGGCGCCGGCGTCCAGGCCTTTGAAGTGTACCCGGCGGCGGCGGCACACGGTCTGCGCGTCGTCGGCGGATACTGCCCGACCGTGGGCATCGCCGGCGGGTACCTGCAGGGTGCCGGACATGGGCCGCTGCTCGGCACGTACGGCCTCGCGGCCGACAACACGCTCGAGGTCGAGGTCGTCACCGTGCAGGGCAAGCACCTCGTGGCTAGCCCGACGCAGAACGCGGACCTGTTCTGGGCGCTCAACGGCGGCGGCGGCGGCAACTACGGCGTGGTCTTGTCGGTGACGACGCGCGCGCACCGCGACGGGCCTGTGGCAGGGGCGTCGCTCACCGTGCTCCCGACGGCGAGGACCAACGACACCGAGGCGCATTGGCGCGTCGTCGCGGCCTGGCACCGCCACCTGCTGTACCTGGACACGCTGCCCGGGTTCACGAGCGTGTACCACATCTCCAGCACGAGCTTCCAGCTCAGCCAGGCGACGTATGCGGACCACGGGGTGGCGGATATACAGCGCGCGCTGGATCCGTTCCTGGCGCAGGTGCGGCAGCTCGGGTTCAACTACACGCTCGAGACCAATGTCCAGACCAGCTACTACGACCACTACGTCAAGTACAACCCGAAGCTGCCGTACGGGTCCTACTTCAACAACGAGACCATTGGCGGCCGCCTCATCAGCCGCGACGCGGTGAGGACCAACCTGCCCCAGGTCGTGCAGGCCATCCGGCGCATTGCCAATTCGGGCGCGGGCACGTTTGTGAATGGCGTGGCGGGCAACGCGAACCGCGCGCGCAGCAGCAGCAACGTGCCTGGAACAAACGCAGTGCTTCCTGCGTGGCGGGATGCCCTCTACCATCTGATTATTGAGATTGTGTACCCGGGGGACGCGCCGTCGGCGCAGCTTGTCCGTGTGCAGAGCGACATGAATGGCCACCAGGAGCTGCTGCGGGCGGCGTCGCCGGTCGGCGGAGCGTACATTAACGAGGCGACGTTTGACAATACGCACTGGAAGGAGGACTATTTTGGAGCCAATTACGACAAGCTGCTGCGGGTGAAGAAGAGGTATGATCCCCAGTTTGTGCTCTACGGACCGGCTTCGGTGGGGAGCGACACTTGGGTGCGGGCTTCGGATGGGCGTCTGTGCAGAAAGTAGCAGGGCAAGCCAGACTAGTGGACAGTTCTTCCGGTACTGTCGAAAAGGTAGTACATTTCATTATAGAAATAGAAATAAACATAAATAAAAAGTGTTGAAGCCGTTGAAACTACATTTCTGCCAGAGGTACCCGACTATTGATTAAGAAGCAACTACTCCGTACAGGTCGTCGTTTCACAAGTCTCCCTTTACAGGATATTGCAACAAATTATAGATCTCATAATATAGCAGTTTAATCATTCATAGCATTCCACGCTGCGCTACAATTAAACATCTACCAAGGCTCCTGCTGGCCGGTCCACAGCCAAAGCTTGCCCGAGTGCGTCTCCTTGGTGGCAGCATCAATGACCTTGACAACACCCTGCACGCTCTCATCGACGGTGATGCTAGCCTGCTCGAGATCAAAGGCGCGGGCGCCGCGGTTACCCATTTCAGTTTGGACAAAGCTGAATAAATCGAAATTAGCGATGCACAAAGTAATGACGGTTGCGTGCGGTAGACTTACCCGGGATCGATGGGGAACGCTGTCAGCCAAGTCTCGGCAATGGCAATGGTCCTGGCGTACCAATGGTGAAGGATCTTGGTAGGGCCGTAGACGGCGTTGGGGAAGGGAATCGCATTCCTGGACAAGTTAGATTTATTCCATCCATTGGAGAGAAGTTTACTCACTATGTAATGTTAGCATGGAGATGCGATGGGAGGGGTACTGGATACTTGCCGTCAAGAATGCCGCGCTGGAGCCAATCACAACGAGCTTGGGGTCCTTGGATGCCTTGAGGAACGGCAAGAATGCCTGGTAAAGACGAACGAAGCCATAGACGTTGGTGTCAATGTGGTCCTGAATATCCGCAATCTTGGCATCCTCCAGCTTCGGCCAGGCGGTCGCCTTGCCGGCATTGGCAATGACAATGTCCACGTGGTTGATGCCTCTCGACTTGAGCGTCTCAGCAGCCTTGAGCGCGTCCGTGTCATTGGTCGCGTCGACCTTGACGAGCTGGACAGTCGTGCCCGCGGCCGTGGGCAGCTTGAGCAGCTCCTGCGAGGGGCCGTCGTCGGGGTTGCGGTTGGCGGCAATGACGGTGTGGTTGGGCTTTGCGACGTACAGCTCAAAGATGCCGCGGCCGATGCCACGGCTGGCACCGGTGATGAGCACAATGGTGGGAGAAGCCATGGTTGTTTCTCGTCTTGTTGCAAGGGTTCGTTAGTAAGTGATGGGCAGTGGCGCTAGAGTAGTGTCGCGGAAACAAAAAAGCCAAGATCGAATGTGAATCTATCAGCTCGCAGTTTCCGTTTTGTGTACGGGCGATTTACGGTGAATTACTAATGATGCTGGAAAGATACTCGTCACCAACGTCCTCCAGCCGCGGCAACGCCACACGACCAAGTCAATTGCTTATGATGATGTCGCCATTGTTTGCTTAATGGATCGATTCAGCCTGGCTCGATCGGGTGGATCGAGCGACCGAAAGCCGGTATTACGCTCGGCCAATCAGAGATCCTGGGCGTAATACATGCAGGGTAAGCAATTGCCCGATTAGGAAGAACGATTATTTTTAGCGCATGACTGATAACAAAGATAAGGCGAATGGCTGAAACATGTGCGACATGAATTGGAAAGCAAACGAAATCAGAACAATGAATTGCAAATCAGTGCTTGATAATCATGTGGAAGACTATGGTCAAGGAAGCAAGGCAGGGAGGAGTTGAAGGCAAAGATAAGCGAGCAAGACTAAACAGGATGCGAGAGCTCGAAAGGACAGAGTTATGTAGTAGAATATAGGAAAAGGTGCAAGAAGCAAATGCACAAAGAGTCTTGTCTTAAAATTATCATCTTGTCTATTTCCTCTAATTTGTTCTGTCTGCCAGGAGCTGTTGGCACAGCACACTATGCGGGGTCCATGCGCTCAAAATACTTTCGACCCTAGTCTATGAGTTTCAATCGCACTTGTCTTCACCAAAACTTGTCTTCACCAAACACGTCCATCTAGCTTCCAAGAATCTCCCGTACAAACTCCGCCATGGCGTCCACCACCTTGTCCGAGCCCTCGCCGCTCAGCACAGTGAGATGACCCTTGCCCTTGGCCTCCAGGAAGGTCTTGGTCTGCGGGAAGAGCGCAAACGCGGCCTTTTGCTCCTCGGGCGGCGACATGGTGTCCAGCTCAGGCGTGACCATCATGACAGGCGTCTTGTCCACGAGCTTGAGAATCTCCTTGGGCTGCCACATGGCCAGCTTTTGGTACGTCTGCAGCGCAATCTTGTTGCGGAAGTTGGGCGCGCCGCGGTCAATAATGGCGCCCATGAAGCCGTACGCCTCGAGCCCGCCGGGACCGCCCGAGCCCGCCATACCAATCGGGTTCTCGCCCTTGCTGTTGAACGGCGGCAGCATAAAGGGCTCGTTGCCGCGCAGCTGCGACTGCCGGTCCCGCATCAGCTGCAGAAACGCCTTCTCCCGCTTCTCCGCCTGGTAGAAGCTCAGGATCGGGCACACCATGACGAGCGCCTTGACGCGACGGTCGACTGCCGCCGCCGTGGCGCTGACGGTGCCACCAAAGGACATGCCCCAGAGGGCAATCTGCGAGGACTCGACACTGGGAAGGGAGGAAATATGCGTGATGATGTCTGGCATCCATTTGTCAGTATGCTTCTTCGTCACCAAGTAGAGCCAAGCATACCTGTCAGATCTTCTGCTTGTTGAAGGGGATCAATAAGGTTCTTGGGGGTGCCGTCACTGTCGCCAATGCTGCGGGGGTCGTAGACATAGGCATTGAAGCCTTGTGATTGGAATATCTCTGCAATGTCGGGGAGCAACATTTCTTTGACGCAATTGAACTTTGACATAATTAGCAACTTGTCTTGACGGCCGATTTTTTGAGCATGTATACCCCCGGAGTCATGATAATGACGGGTCCTTTGCCATCCACGGCATAGAACCGGCCTCTGATGATGGTGCCATCAATGGTCTTGCTTTCCACAACCTGAAATGGAGGAGCCATCACGACTTGCACTGTGAAAGCTTGACCAGGTAACGTTAAAAAAATAAAGTATAAGAAAGTGTCAAGTCAACGTGGAATTAGAGTTATTGAAGATGCTTGGCTCATCCGGGCAGGCACGTCGCCTTCTTTTCCCATCTGCCATATCCTTTAAGAAGTCACGTCACCAAGCCCGTCTCATTGGCTTACGTCTAATCGCGGGGGGCTAAGAAATGCCGGCGGAGAATTCGCCCGATTCGGAAATAACAAGCTGGGCCGTTTCGAAACCTCGAGTAAGAATGAGGCTGAAGACATGATCCACAGATAGAATAAACATGCTGACCCGGCCGGCATCTGACCGTGCAGGAGCTCGCATAAGGCTCGCAGCTGGGAAAACGGGCCAAGACGTGGCGCTCCTGAGTGCCGAACGTCTCGATTGGACTATGTGACTACTTCCAGGGTCGGTTATCGGTCGAGGAAAAAAAAAAGAATATTCGTAAGTTGGCCATGACGGCGGGTTATCGTGTCAGACCTGCACATCTTGCGCAAGCCGGGAACGGCTGAGCGCTAACTGGGCCTTGTTCGTGGGTTCAGCTATGAGTAATTCCTGGTCAAGTTGACGAGTCGTTGCTTGTGATTGCTCCGAAAGCACCGTTTTTGCCCTCAAAATCAGAATAAGCCGAAAAACGTGGCTTGTTTCGCATGCCGTATACGGAAAGAATCGTAGATAGACGCATGCCAACTATGTTCCTCTCGACCGAGCCGCTGGCCAACTATCCAGAAATAAAAAGAATACATATTCATGCCTCGAATCCCCCTTCTGTCTGTAAAGCTCTACTATTTCTGTATAACCCGACTTTTATTTCTTCTTCATAAACAAGGCTCTCACGTTTTTACGTTTCTACGTCTTCACAAGACGACTTATACGTTTCAAAACACACAACTACAACACAAGACAGCCATGTCGGGCCCAGAACCAATTGCCATTATTGGCTTCTCGTGCCGCCTTCCCGGCGGCAACTCCAACCCGCGCAAGCTCTGGGACTTTTTGGAGCGCGGCGGCATCGCCTCCAACAAGGTGCCCAAGAACCGCTTCAACATTGACGCGCACTGGGACGGGTCACACAAGCCGCGGACTATGCGCCCGCTCGGCGGAATGTTCCTCGAGGAGTTCGACCCGGCCGACTTTGACGCGTCCTTTTTTGAGATTTCAAAGACAGACGCCATCGCCATGGACCCCAACCAGAGACAAATGCTGGAAGTGGTATTTGAAGCGCTGGAGAACTCGGGCGTGCCTCTGGAGAAACTCGACGGCGCCCCGGTGGGATGCTTTGTGGGTTCCTTTGCCTCAGGTTGGTCCTTCTTCTTTTCTCACTCACCGTGGGTATACATGCTGATGAACTATGGGCAGATTATGGTGATATGCAAGGCCGAGATCCTGATGACCGTCCTGCCAACATCACCGTCGGCGTCGGCCGCGCCATCCTGGCCAACCGTCTCAGCCACTTCCTCAACATCAAAGGCCCCAGCATGACGATAGACACGGCTTGCTCGGGCTCCCTCGCCGGTCTGGACGTGGCGTGCCGATACCTGAAAACCGGTGAGATCGACTCGGCCATCATCGCGGCCAGCAACCTGTACCTCAACCCCGAGCACGTCATGGACATTGGCGCCGTGGGCAACGCGCACTCGCCCACGGGCCTCTGCCACACGTTTGACATTACCGCCGACGGATACGTCAAAGCCGAGGCTGTCAGTTCCATTGTGATTAAGCGGTTGTCGGATGCGATTCGGGACGGCGACCCCGTGCGCGCCGTCATCCGTGGCTCGTCGACGAATAGTGACGGCCGCACACCGGGTATTGCCAGCCCGAGCGCCGAGGCGCAGGCCGTGGCCATTCGTGCGGCGTATGCGAATGCCGGTATTACCAGCCTGAATGATACGGCGTACCTGGAATGTCACGGTACCGGAACGCAGGCAAGTACATGTCCAAGTTGCTCATCGCAGTTTGACCACTAACACGGCGGCAGGCTGGTGACCCTACCGAAGTCCGGGGTGCGGCGTCCGTTTTTGCTGCCACGCGCCCTGACGATAAGCCTCTTATTATCGGCTCGGTATGAAAATCCCATTGGTAGTCACAGGTATGAACGCGCTGACCATTTCAGATCAAAGCCAATTTGGGCCATGCGGAACCCGCAGCGGGCAACTCCGGCTTGATCAAGGCCGTACTAGCCATTGAGAATGCGCGCATTCCTGGCAACCCGACGTTTGAGAACCCGTCTCCTAAAAGTAAGTAGCGTATTATGTTTTCCATTGAAAATTACCTGTTGTTTTTTCTTCAGCAAATCTAACCATGCGACAGTCGATTTTGCGGGGTGGAAGGTCAAGGCTAGTCGGTACACGATCCCGTGGCCGAACCAGGAACTCCGCCGCGCCAGTGTCAACTCGTTTGGCTACGGAGGCTCCAACGTGCACGTCGTCATTGAGCAAGCCGCTGTCGACCACAAGCCGCGCCACGTCTCGTCCTATCTCTCCGAAGATGCCGAAATTGATTTCGACGATGATCTCGACGCGAGCCGGCCGCACACCCTCGTCCTGTCCGCCAACGACGAGGCGTCGCTGCGCGCCAACATCCGCGCCCTGTCCGACCACCTCATCAACCCGCGCGTCAAGGTCAGCCTGCCCGACCTGGCCTACACCCTGAGCGAGCGCCGCTCGGCCTTTTTCCACCGCGCGTACCTGACGACCAGCACCACCGACTTTGACGACGGCGCGTTTGTCCTCGGCAAGAAGCAGTCGGAGACGCCGCGTCTCGGCTTTGTCTTTACCGGCCAGGGCGCCCAGTGGCCGCAGATGGGCAAGGAGCTGCTGGAGTTCTTCCCATGGACACGCTCGATTTTGGAAGAACTGGATGCGGTTCTGCAAAAGCTGCCCGACCCGCCTGCCTGGTCGCTCGTTGGTAAGAAGCCTGGGTGAACAAACGATGATCAAAGGGAACCTTGCTAATGCACGTGAATAGACGAGTTGACACAGGCCCGCTCGGCTGAGCACCTTCGCCAGCCCGAGTTCTCGCAGCCTCTTGTCACGGCCCTGCAGCTCTCCATTCTGGCTGTCCTCGAATCATGGGGCGTGTCCCCGCAGAGCGTCATCGGCCACTCGTCTGGTGAAATCGCCGCCGCCTACGCCGCCGGCTTCCTGACCCGCGCCGACGCCATCATTGCCGCCTTTTACCGTGGCCGCGCCGCCGTGAACCGCAAGAAGGACTCGGAGCCCAATGTCGGCATGTTGGCCGTCGGCCTCGGCGGCGACGCGGTCCAGCCGTACCTCGCGGCCCATGCCGGCAGCGCCTGGATCGCCTGCTTCAACAGCCCGGGCAGCGTCACCGTGTCGGGCAAGATCGAGGCCCTCGAGGCCCTGGCGCAGAGCCTCAAGGCCGACTCCCACTTTGCGCGCCTGCTGCAGGTGGACCTGGCCTACCACTCGGCGCTCATGGGCGTCATTGGTGACGAGTACGAGACGCTCCTGCAGGCAAACAACTTTACCTCGTCCGAGGGCCACAGCAACGTCGCCATGTTCTCGTCCGTCACGGGCAAGAAGAAGACGGACCCGGCGGACGCCCTGTACTGGAAGAGCAACATGGTGTCGCCCGTCCAGTTCAGCGACGCCGCGCAGGAAATGCTCACCGCCCCCAACGCCCCGACCGTGCTGCTGGAAATCGGCCCCTCGGGCGCGCTGGCCGGCCCCCTCTCGCAGATCAAAAAGGCTCTCGACAAGGCCGACGGCGACGTCGCCTACGTCGCTGCCTGGTCGCGTGGCGCCAACGCGGGCAAAACTCTCTTCGACGCCGCCGGCCGCCTCTTCGTTGCCGGCTACCCCGTCGCGCTGGCCAAGGTCAACGAGTACCAGCAGCAGTCGACCATTGTCGATCTGCCCAACTACTCCTGGAACCACTCCGTCAAGTACTGGCACGAGAACGCCGCGAGCAAGGACTGGCGCTTCAAAAAGTACACGTCGCACGACTTGCTCGGCAGCAAGGTGCTCGCCACGTCGTGGCAGGCACCCAGCTGGCGATCGCACCTCAACCTCGACAACGTGCCCTGGTTAAAGGACCACAAGATGGGCGCCGACGTCCTGGTCCCCGGCTCCGGCTTCATCTCCATGGCGCTGGAAGCCATCTGGCAGAAGCACAAGGCGGTTGAGCCTGCCGCGGCTGACGTCGCTGCCATCAATGATCTCGCGTACCGCTTCCGCAACGTCAAGTTTGAAAAGGCGCTGGTCGTCGAGGAGGGCAAGGACACCGAGGTCATGCTCTGGCTGACCCAGAAGCCTGGAAGCAATTCGTGGCACGAGTTTGTCATTTCCTCGACCACGGCCGACGACTTCCGCATTGACCATTGCTCTGGCCAGGTCCGCGTGCAGGACGAAGTGGTTGACACTATTCCGGAGGGCCAGGACGGGGAGCTGGCTCACCCGACCGCTGGACGGCTGTGGTACAAGGCGCAGTCGGAGATTGGCTACGGATTCGGGCCTTCGTTCCAGAAGCTCAAGCACGTCGAGTCCCTGAGCGGCAGCCGCAAAGGCCGCGCCGTCGTTGCCCTGGAGCCACCGGCGTCCAAGTGGAATCCCCAGTCGTACTACCCCATCCACCCGGCCTCGCTCGACGGCTGCTTCCAGACTGTCACGCCGTCGCTGTGGTCTGGCGAGCGAAGCTCCATCAATGCCGTTGTTGTGCCGTCCGTTTTGGACGACCTCGTCATCAACAAGGTGCCCCGTGACCTTGTCAATGGCCTGTCCCTTGCCAACTCGGAGTACTCCGGCCGTGGTCGTCTCTCCGAGGCCAAGAGCTACATGTCCAACTGCACCGTGTACGATCCGCAGACCGGCAAGCTCATCGCGCGCATGTCTGGACTCCACTTTGCCGAACTCAATACCGATACCAAGGTTGATCCGCACACCTTTGACGAGATCTCGTGGAAGCCGGATGTCAGTCTCCTTTCTAGCCAGCAGCTGTCGTCGCAGTTTGTCGGCCTCGACGCCGTGGAGGCAATCAACGCCGCGATTGACCTACTCGCCCACAAGAAGCCCGCGCCGTCCGTTCTCGAAATCAGCCTCGACGCTAGTGATTCGTCTTCGATCTGGTTTGACGCGCAGAAGGAGTCTTTCTCGGCTCGCTCTGCCTATGCAGAGTATACTGTCGCCACCGTGGGCGGACCGAGCCTGGTTGACCTGCAGACCAGATACGAAGACAAGAGGAACACTACCTTTTTACTCTTGAGCGAGACAAAGGAAAATCTCGGTCTGGAAGCGGCTTCCTACGATCTCATTATTGTCAAGCTCGGAGAAGATGATTCCGGCAATCTGCTCCAAGCTATCGAGCCGCTGCTCTCTCAAAGTGGCGCCTACAATCTCATCGTCCAGGGCAAAATTTCCGACTCTGCGCCTGCCACTTCAGGTTCCGAATCTGGCTCCATGTTATCGGCTGCTACCCGATCGCCCGAGATCCTCGAGACTCCGCATGCAGGTGCGGTTGTCGATCCCAGAATCCAGTCCTCCTCCGTCTCCGACACGCCCTTGCCGGGCCACCACGCTGGGATCAAGGGTGTGGATCTCGACATTGCCCTCCAGGAGAAATTCTCCGCAGTTCCTAGCAAGGTATATGTCACACCACAACTGTCCGCTCTTGGATCGCCCGTCGAAATCGGGTCTAGCGACAGCCTGCTCGCACACTTGTACTCGCCAAGCAGCGCCGAAGCCGAGGCCGCCCGGAAGCTGTCCGTTGTCAGCTTCACTGGAAAGACATCTTCGCTTAGTCCCGAGCTGACAGCATCCCTCGAGCGTGCTGGCTGGTCCATCGCAAGCCAGGGACTCCCGCTCACCAAGCCAGCCGATGGAAGCATCGTGGTTGTTCTCGACGAGCTGCACGCGCCGCTCCTCCGAGACATTGGGCAAGAGCAGTGGACCGCCCTACAAACACTGGTCAGCTACGGCAACCCGGTCCTCTGGCTGACCCAGGGTGCGCAGCTGACTGTGACGAACCCTGATACTGCCCTCGCCCCTGGTCTCTTCCGTGTCATTCGCATGGAAGACCAAAGCGCCCAGCTCATTACCCTGGACGTTGAGTCTGCCACCGGCCCTGCTACCGATGCTGCCATTGCGAACGTTTTGAACCAGCTGCTCCAGCCGCGCTCCAAAGAGTTCGTCGAGACCGAGTTTGCAGAGAGAAATGGCACTATTCACGTGCACCGCATCGTGCCCGACGTTGCAGTCAACAAGTTCAAGTCGGTGGAGAAGCTCGGCGCTGAACCCGTGGTCCGCGACCTGCATGCGGCCGACGTCGAAGTATCGCTTCGCGCTGAGCGCATGGGCACCTTTGATGGTTTGACGTGGGCTGAGAACTCGGCCAGTCCTGTTCCTGTCGAAGAGGGTCGCATTGAGGTCGAAGTCTTTGCAGCGGGTGTCAACTTCAAGGATGTGGCCGTCACCATGGCCATTGTTCCCGAGAACGAGTACACGCTGGGCTACGAAGCCGCTGGCGTGGTCAAGAGACTCGGCGCTGGTGTCAGCAAGTTCAAAGTCGGGGATCGTGTATGCTTCCTGGCCAACGGCAGTTATGCCAACCGTCTGCAGGTGCCCTACCAGCGGGCGCACGTCTTCCCGGATAGCATGAGCTTTGAAGAGGCGGCCACAATTCCGTCCGTCTACCTGGCCTCTATCTACTCGCTGTACCACTTGGGCAACCTGAAGGCCGGCCAGACAGTCTTGATCCACTCCGCCACTGGTGGTGTCGGCATCTCCGCCATCCAACTCGCCGTGCACAAGGGTGCGGAAGTATTCGTCACGGCGGGTACCGAGGAGAAGCGCGAATTCCTGGAGAAGAACTATGGCATTGCCAGAGATCACATCTTCTCCTCGCGCAACACCAACTTTTCTGCAGGCATCAAGAAGCTGACTGGTGGTCGGGGTGTGGATGTCATCCTCAACTCGCTCACCGGCGAGATTCTGGACGAGTCCTGGCGCATCACCGCCGATGGTGGTACCTTTGTCGAGATTGGTAAGAAGGACATTGTGGACCGCAACTCACTCTCGATGGAGCCGTTTGACCGCAACTGCTCGTTCCGCGCAATGGACTTTTCTTACACGAAGGATATCTCCCTGCCATTGATTGAAAGGTCAGTCCCAAGCATTTTTGAACACGTCGGAGAACTTGAGCTAATTCATGATATAGACTACTTACTGAAATCTTTGAGCTGGTCAACGCTGGCCATGTCAAGCCAATCCAGCCCATCACTCCCTTTGGCTTTGACGACATCCCGTCTGCCCTGGCTCATATCCGCAGCGGTCGTCACATTGGCAAAGTCGTCATCTCGAGTGGCCAGCACGTCCCGGTCGAGGTTCCCATTCGACCCGCCGTGCGAAAGCTGGCTCTGGACCCGACGGCCTCGTACTTGATCGTCGGCGGTCTCAAGGGCCTCTGCGGCAACCTCGCCATCCACATGGCCAAGACTGGCGCGCGCCGCATCATTGTCTGCTCTCGCAGTGGACTGCAGGATCCCGCGTCGCAAAAGACGGTGGCCAACTGCGCCGCGTATGGCTGCGAGATTGTCGAGGCAAAGGGCGACGTGGCCGATGAAGCTTTCGTTCGCATGATCTTCCAGGAAGCCTCTCCGGCTATCGCGGGTGTCATTCAAGGCGCCATGATTCTCAGGGTGAGTTTCTCCCGTTCAATACTTTGAAATAGGCGCTTTCTTACTAACATTCGTACCAGGATAAACCATACGAAATCATGACGTGGGAAGAGTACCATGCTGCCATTCACGCCAAGATTCAAGGCACCTGGGCGCTCCACCGCGCTTCCCTCGACCAGCCCAAGAGCCTCGACTTCTTCACCCTCCTCTCCAGCATTTCGGGCATCGTCGGCAAAAAGGGCCAGTCCAACTACTCGGCGGCCAACACCTTCCTCGACTCGTTTGCCTACTACCGCCAGTCGCTCGGCCTGCGGGCCAACGCCGTCGACCTGGGCCTGATTGAGGACGTCGGCTACGTGGCGGAGCAGGGCGGCATGGACAGCCACTTTGACCTGCGCCAGTGGACGCCGATTCTCGAGGGCACCCTCCGCAGCATCCTCGACTACTCGATCCTGCAGCAGGCGCCGACGCCCCTCAACGCCATCAGCGCGTCGCAGCTCATCACCGGCATCGGCTACCCGCTGCCCGACGACTCGGACCTCAAGCGCGAGGCACGCTTCGGGTACCTCTTCAGCCAGGTCGGCGGCGAGGGCGCCAAGGACGGCGGCAGCAAGGGCGACCAGGCGATCCGCGCCCTGAAGCTGATGCACCAGTCGGGCGCAACGGGCGCGCCGCTCGTCAAGCTGGCGACGGAGCTGCTGGCGGCGCAGATCACCAAGATTCTGCGTCTGGATGCGGAGCTCGAGCCGGCCAAGTCTCTCATGGCCTATGGCGTGGATTCCCTGGCGGCCGTCGAGTTGAGGAACTGGGTTCGATCTGAGTTGGGCGCCGAGCTGTCGACATTGGACATTACGAATGCCAGCTCCCTGATTGCGCTGTGCGAGAAGCTTGTGCTGAAACTGCCTGCGGCGTGATTCTTTATTATAAATATTGTACGGAAACTAGATTGTTAGATATTTTATTTGTTCAATTTCAACTTGCCACGTTGCTTCCATCATGTCCTAGTGTCAACTTTGAATCTAATGCTGTAGCAGCGTGCTAACCAAGGCAAACCCCATCAAATCGTAGCATTGCGGGAGGCCACGATCGGCTCTTGGATTAGCGTCTCCATGGCCTTTGCGCGCCCCATTGTGCTGCAAGAGTAGACGTTGTTTGGAATGGATTGATTACGACTGCAGGTTCCTCAGCCCACACGGCTCACAGTATCCGTGTACAATGGTACATTACGACCACGTTTGCAAAGCACAGACACTATAACGTAACAGCTTCTTTATCACAGAACCTTATTATGCAGCTCGCCGGTTTGTCACATCTATTAGCGGGAAGCGATTGGGGAATATATCAGTGGATGAGTAAAAGCTATGATAACTAAGGAAATGATGGTGCCGGGAAACCCCGTTTGAAGTCTGATTGCCGCCCCCTCTTAGACACTTGGGTTCTTAATAAAGTCAAGAAAGCTGCTGACTTTGGTGTAAACACCGGGAGCAGTCGGATGTCCGCAAGCAAGACCAAACGAAACGATGCCAACCAGTGTTTTGGAGCTGGCATCGACAAGAGGACCGCCGCTATCTCCAAAGCAAGAATCCTTGGCTCCTCCGGGTACACCGGCGCAAATCATGTCCTGAGTAATGGAGGGCGCACGCGGCCCGGCGGCTTGGTATGCTTGACTGCAGTCATTGCGGTCAAGGACCGTAAGCGCAGTTTCTCGCAAGAGTTGGGGCGGCGTAGTCGACTCCGCTTCAGGATCCGGAGTACCTTGCGGCGGCTGAGAACCGGGATCTTGACCAACAGGGGAGCCGGGATTTTGACCAACAGGGGAGCCGGGATCTTGACCAACAGGGGAGCTGGGATCTTGACCAACAGGGGAGCCGGGATTTTGACCATTCGGAAACCCGGGATCTTGACCAACCGGAAAGCCGGGATTTTGACCAGTAGGACCTTGGGGATCACGAACAGACAGGTCAAAGTTCTGAGGCAAGAATAGTTTCGGGGAAGGCTCTTGCGGAGCATCTCGTGGGAATATCCCAGGCGGGAAGCCGCCTTGTGGTGGACCGCCTTGAGGCGGAATGCCTTGACCACCTTGGCCTCCCTGTGGTTGGTTTGGGTCCTTTGTAACTCCCCTAAGCTAGCTGTCAGAAGCTCGCTCGATAAAAAAAAACAATTCATTATACATACCAACCAGCCAACTTTGCTGCAGTTGAGGCTGCCGGGTCCTGGCCCTGCTCCGGCAACTGGACAAATTTGATTGTCGGGCCTGCTTTGATTGGCGTTGACAGTTTCCAAATAGAGATATCATTCACCAGGGTCTCTTCGTTAAACCCACGGTGGTTCTTGATACTAGCCACGCCAACGACAGTGGCTTGACTGCTTGTGCGATCCTAAACCGGCGTAAGTATCTGTATAAGCACCAAGCTGTAGAGGAAAGGAAAACTTACATTTGACCCAGCAAGGACTGAAAATTGGCTGGCAGGCTGACCGCCACTACAATGGGCGGCTGTGACAACAGTGTCGGGTGCTATCAGCGATCCGCCACATGTATGCTGGTCTCCGGCTCCGCGTAGAGAAACGATCCAAGGCCATTCAGATTGGTTTGCTTGGGATCCTCCAATAACCTTTGCTTCAAAGTCGATGGGTTGCGCAACCGCTGTTTGGACGGTGAATATAGCGACTGCAGCCGCGAAAGCTTTGTTGGGCGCCATTTTTAGGGGAGAAGAGTAGAACGAGGTAGATACTGTTAATAACTGTCAGAGAGCTCGGTGCAGAGCCTGGAGATATTCCCCAGAGGAATCGTAAATAGGACATTTATATATTGATTTTAGTCGAAGCCGAAGTACATGTATTGTAGCCATTGGCTTTTGAGTGCTTTGCATCGCATGAGGTTACCGGCTTTGCATAAACTATGCCCGGATGCTGAGTTTCGAAACTTTGACTCAGTTCTCATAATTAGGCATAACTTGACATAATTGTATTGGCCATCTGGAGTTTGGCGGGTGTGATCAAGACATAGCTTTTATTTCTTAGGCTCGATATACCGATCTGCATAATTTGGGGATTATAAGCCGTTGTAAGCAGGCATTATGCTAGTTGAAACAAGCTATGAGCAGCAGCATTAATTTCTAGACTACGGTTCCCGGTAATAGTTTATTAGGCTGGACCTACCTTTGTATAATGGTATATTCTGAAACTTCGTCGCAATATGCCTTGGATTCCTTCTGGCCGAGTTGCTTCAAACGCGCCACTACGCATCAACAGATTCATGGCAGGGCCACAGATCATGTTCTCGAGCCACCTGATTGCCATTTTATAAGGGCCTCCATCGCAATGCGTACGCTATGAGCACGGTTCAGCAATGATTGGTGCTGCGACGGTCCCATCGTAGGATTCCATGGCCTCGTCAAGGGCTTTGGCAGTCGTTGCGCTGTTCAAGGCGATAATGTGGTGTTTCGAGTATCTTTTCTTAAAAAACAATTGGTAGGTTCACCTTTGAGCTATTTCCGCGAGGTGGAAGCGGGGTAGTTATAACTGCCCCGATGACGAGTCGTATCCAGGGGCAGCGAATACGCGTAAGGTGACGTCGACCCCGTGACGCCTACGAAATACAGGATACTAAATTTAGTCTCAGTGTTCTCAAACTAAGAAGATCCTCCACCTGGTTGCCCGCCAAACTTCAGCAAGGCAAGAGAGGAAAGGCTGATTGTCACTGGCAAAGAACGGCGGGAACCAGACGCGCTCCATTTGCCGAAGGTACGCAACTCTATCAAAAGCTCAGGACAGGAGAAGAGCTTCAACGCGATGCTGGGCCTCTATTCATGGCACTGCACCACGTGCTAGTTAGAGCCTGGTCACAGCCAGCCCACTACCAAGGACAGTTCAAAAAACTACCTACCTGGTGAGACAGGCTCGTGGGGGGTCTTTGCCACTGTCTCCTGTGGATTCTCCGTCTTGACTCTTATTATCGCCGTAAGCACGCTTGAGAATAGATGCGCAGTACAATGGCGATCACCTAGAAACATGTGCTAAGGTAAAGGACGCCATAGCCTACACCACCATTATCCCTGTTAGGCGCGTAATAATAGGACTTGACTCAGCCGCGACGCAGTCACGCCGCTGGCTCGCGTGACATATGCATAACTAACTGCTTGGCAAGGGTTTTGGATGTGCCCCCGCATTGTCGCCATGTCGAAATCCCGTACTTTGCACTATTCAGATACCAGGGCTCAAGCCCGCCTTATTACATACAAATTACTAGTAGATTGCTAGGCTAGGCCCTGGCCGCTTCACATCGCATGAGCGGGCTTGATCACTAGTTGGGCCACAGTGAATGGCAACCATACAAGTTACAGGTGGCATGCATTATTGAGTAGAAAACCGGGGCGGATGATAAGCTGTCTAACTATTGTTTCCCATCAGGGTGGAATCCTGGGCGAGGCAGGCAGGCAGAATGAGCCAAGGAGTCGAGAAAGTGATGAGGGAAGTAACGGAAGAGGCGGAAGAGGCGGAAGAGGCGGAAGAAGCGGAAGAAGGGGCGGGAGAAAATAGGCTGCGCCTAAAATTGTTACTGTCCAGGGACTTGCCTAGCCAGTGAGGGTGAAAGCTCTAGTTAGGAGGCGATTCGCACTGGGAAGCGTATGGGCACATCTGCAGCAAGTCAAATATGTCCAAAGTCTTCCAAAGTGCAACTGCCTATTTCTTGATAACATCACCTCAGCCGACAATCGCCAGGGTCCCGGTCCCAGCTGCACGCTACAATGTCGCAGCCGTCAATACGCACGTCTCCTTTCCAGTTGCTCTCTATTCACGATTCCAACTGATTGCGCAGCATTGGTAGGAGGTGCGGGGGGGCTGGGACACTTGCAACTTCCACGACGAAGATTGGACACATCATCTTCAACAAGGCGAATCTTAAAGTTGTAGCCGTCGAAGCCGCCGTCTTGATTCGTCAAGGGCTCCCCTCGGCGCTGGAGACCTCAGGTTTGATGGATGGGCCCGGCGTCGACAACAGCGTAGGCGGGCAAGTTTATGCTCAGACACTGAGTTTTTGAAACGGCACGTCGATCTGTTAGCGTCTTTTGCGGGCTCTATTAAGAAGTATCATGCGTATCATGCATGGGACGTGGAACTGACTGTGGATTTTTTTCACGATCTCATTATGCCTTACAGAATTGTATCCTGGTCGACAGGTACTTTACGAGCTAGGCTAAACACTGACTCGACTTTTCAAAATAGAGTCTGGCCCTGTCGGCGGCTGCGAGCATCATTTTCTCCTGCCTCTCAGGCGACGGCGGTGATGACGACGTGGCTGTCTTTTGGGGGGTATGTGCCCTCATCTCAGAAAACCCTCTTTACCCCGACGGTACGGGCCATGCAAGGTCACAGAGAAATGCGAAATGCGGTGTTTTGCTTGTTTGTTGGCCGAGAAAGGTACGTATGGGAGAGAGCCTCTAGGGAGCCAGGCCTCGTGCGAGTACCTACCTACCCGGGAGCAGAGCGAGGCTGGGCAAATCCAGAGTTCTTGTAATTCGGCTCTTGCCCTTATTATTGATACATGTTAAGAACTGCCATATGCTACTCTGATGTATTATTCTTTTGTACAAAGTTGATGCGAGCACATTACTAAGTTACTGCCTCCCCTGTTCCTGTCTTAGCAAGCTCTGCAAGTACCCCAGATCCACCGCGTCACAGCAAACGCGTCCAGCATCCGCAGCAATCTTGTCGAGCAACGGGCGCGTTTTGCCATCGTCAATCGTGAACATGATATGCCCCTTATCTAAGTACTCCTTGTACATGGACAACTCCAGATTGATATTCTCGCTGCTCACCGCCGTCATCGCCTCGAACCACGCATCCAGGTCCAGCACTCTGGCCTGTACCCTCCCACCGTGCAGCTGTCC